CACATCTTTCTTGTGATTCCTGGTTGATGAGGTGTTTGGCTCTGTCACATGGTTACCATGGTTACTACAGTTACTAGGATTACCATGATGTTACTGTACTGTGTCCCAAAACAAAGGAGCCAAGTGAGCATGCCAAGTGATGGGCTAAGAATGTTGTGCCCAAATTCTGAACCCCCAAATCACCAAGAGGCCCATTTCGATGCAAAAGCAAAGAGTCTTTTATTGTAGTTGTTTAGTGAGCTAACCCCATTAGCTTGGGCCCTTCACCCCACCACCATGGCGAATGGCTGGAGAAAAGACCCTGAGAAACCTCAAGGCAGGGGGGACCTTAAAGGGCAGTGTAAGGGGAGTGTCTAGGGGTATGAAACTGTCTCAGGATTGGTGCGCTTCTAGGTGCTATGTTCTGCACGTCACTGTTGTGCACTGTCCGTAAAGCACACCCAGAGCCGTAAAGCCCAGCCCCTCCAGCTAACTTCTGATTGGTTCCTTGCCACGAGGATGGCATCTGACCTTAGTGACCAAGACAGGAGCGGCAAGGTCATGCAAGCACATGTTAGCCTGTAATGGCTGCTAAAATGGGGAACTGGTCACTACAAGAACACCTTCTGTTTCAAGGAAGATCACTTCAGGTTTTTTGTTACAGTGACAGGAAGCTGGCTAACCCCATTACTATACAGATATAGGTGTTGTGAAGTTCTGAAATCTAACACTGAGATGTGGTTATATACAACTGCAGAAAGGCTGTAAAATATACTAGTCACATATGCACAATTATATCTATCCACCTACCGACTTAGCTACCCATCTATCTTTTTGACACAGGGTCTCCCTATGTCATGTATCCCCTGCTGTCCTGAAACTCACTATGTAGACCAGGCTGGCCTCGAACTCACTGAGATCCACCTTGAGTGCCCCTTGAGTGCTGAGATAGAAAGCATGGTCCCCCATGCCTGGCCCGAAATGATTCATTCTCCTTCCTTCCCCACCCACCATGTGTTTGTGTGTCCCTAGGTACCCAGGTGCCATAGATGCAGGTACAGGCAGGAGGACAGACAAGGTCCCTCACCCCCCCCCGTGTGTTTCGGACAGGGTCTCCACTGTTCACTCCTGGTCACACAAGCTGGCTTGCAAGTTTCTCCTGTCTTCACCGCCCTATTGCGAAGGAGAGCTGGGATTACAGATGCACGCTACCTCATTAAGCTTCACAGGATCCGAACTCAGGTCCTCGCACCCCTGTAGCTCTTTTACCCATTCCCCCAGCCCCACAATGCTAGTTTTGTGTTCCAATGGCCTGTTTCCAGAAAGCCTCCTTATTGACTACAGGAAAGACACTACCCAGTGACTTGAGAGTGAGGAGAGAAAGTCCTAAGGGAGTAAAGCAGGTGGTTAGAACCCAGGAATCAAACAGGAGACAGTGGTATTTCTAGCTACTAAATAAAAGTATGCCGAAGCTAGGTGCCAGACACCCTCCGCAACAGAGATCAGCGGAAAACCTAGAGGTGACATGGGACATTCTCCTGGCGGTTAGATAATCAAACAGAATGGCACAGTGATGAGAAGCTTGCAATTTTCCAGTTCAAAAGAATAAAGGTGGAAAGTGAGAGGCGGGTAAATACTGCCGCAGAAAATGAGCTGCTATCTGCAGTCTATTGTTGATGGCTGATCTCCATGGAACACCCTTTCCTTCACTTGTGAGTTAAATGCTTCACACCTTTATTTCTGAAGCATCCATATTTTAGATGTTCCACTCAAAGACCGGAAGAAGTCTGCTTTATTAAGATGTGTGGGCAGAAAGCCTTCCCATATAGGTAAAAAAAAAAAAAAAAGATCTTTTGCTCAGCCTAGACACAGGGGGAAGGGCCTCCTTGGTCCTGCCTCAAGTTGGTGATGGAACGTCCCCCATGGGAGGCCTTACCCTCTCTGATGAGCAGATGGGCGGTGGGGTGAGGGGAAGGTGGGGGGAGTAGAAGGAGGGAGGACTCGGTGTCTCCCAGAGCTGAGCCCATCCTTTCCAGTTGTTTCTTAGTGTGCCTGCGGGTTTGGCTCTGTCCACACTGACGGTGTGGCCTCCTGTCTCTCTGACGGTGCACTTCTGTACACAGCTCAGGCCCCCCCCCTTCCTGCCCTCTCTCAGGTCCTCCACTTGGTCGTGGCCAGTTTCTTTTTTCAGACAGAGAATCATGTACTATGAAGTCTAAGATGACCTTCAACTCCTGATCCTCCTGCCTCCGGCTCTTCAGTGCTGGGACTACGGGTCTGCACTACTGCTTCTGATTTCTATGGCACTAGGGATGGAACTTTCTAGGCAAGCATTTTACCAATTCCCAGCCAGAAATACGAATCTTCTTTTCTACCTGCTGCGGTGCTGGGGATTGAACCCAGGGCCCCACACGTCCTTTGAAAACAACTTCCTCCAGTGCCAGTCCCGAGTGCTCCCTTTGGGACACACACAGGGCAGCTTTTCCTCAGACACACAGGGCATCCCTGGGGCCAACCTCTCTGTCCTTGTGTTCATTCCCCTAACCATTCATGCCAGTGCACCTGGAAGGTAAAGCAGAGCAAACAGGGAGGCGAAGCAGCTGGGCTGTGTCCGGGAGCGATGCAGATGAGGCAGCTGGGGACCTGCATGGCAAATGCCCCTTCTAGACAAGAACACAGCGCCATGGATCATACCTTGAAATGTTGCGGGGTACCCACCAGAGAAGACTGCTCGGACATGGGCTTAAGTCAGTAGAAAGTCTTTATTACCCAGCCGGTGATTGCACTGGGTGTTTGGGATCCCAGCATAGTCCGAAGTCTTCTTCAGGGTGAGATTTTAAGCACAAAAACTACATCCCGAGTTGGCATACTTCAGTTAACAAGAACAGTTAGCAGAAGCAGAACTACAGAAACCAAAAAGCAAGGTTAGTACATTTAAGAGACTTGCCCACAACTATGGACTTTGATGGATTAAGTCTTTGTTTTCATTTTTGGCAGGTGGTGCTGTCTACATGCTAAGTTTCACAGCCTGAATGGTACTCCCACCATGCAGTCAGTTGTGCTAAGGTCCGGGGGCTGTTACACAACCACCATGCAGAATTTACATTTGAGAACATCTCCTGAGAATTCCCACTGTAGTGAGTGGAAAGCTAACCTACTCAGACTAAACTCTACTGCAAACACCATATGCTGCTGGGCAGTGGTGATGTATGCCTTTAATCTCAGCACTCTGAGGCAGAGGCAGGTGATCTCTGTGAGTTCGAGACCAGCCTGGTCTTCAAGAACTAGTAGTTCCAGGACAGCCTCCAAAGCCACAGAGAAACCTTGTCTCGAACCCCACCCCCAATATACCTCATGTTGGAGGGGAAGAGCAGGTAACTGTGCCTGGCTTCTTGCCTATGAGCCAGATGATTCCTAGGTTACTGGAAATGAGGCAGAAAACTGCAAAGAGCCAGGCATTTGAAGCAGAAAGGAGGCGAAATAATACCGGATCTCATTTACAAGAGAGAGGCCACTTGATCTCACACAGTGAGTCCATTATAGACTTGATAACAGCCTTCTAAAAATAAGGTGTAAACTACTAGCTGCTAATTAAAATTGTAAAATGTTTAAGCATTTTACATGGGTTTGCATCCCAATGGTATCTATAAACAGGTGTCTTCGGGGCTGTAATTCTTCCTGGTGATGTTCTTTCTTTCCACTGCTCGCTCTTCCTGATGGTGTCTCTGTGTCATTTCATTATCCCTATTTTCTTTTTTAAAAGATACTTTTAAAATGTATTTTATTCTCATGGCAGGGGCCTTTTGCCTCTATGTCTGTCTATGCACCATGTGTGTACAGTGTCCAAGTCAGACCAAGGACCTGGATTTTCTGGAACTGGAGCTCTAGATGGCTGTGAGTTGCCATGTGGGGCTGGGATTCAAACCCAGGTCCTCTGGAAGAGCGACCAGTACTTTTCCCACTGAGTCATCTCTCCAGTCCATCATTATCACTTATTTCTATGATGTTACCATTGTACTAAGTGTGGTTAACCTCCTGACTATGTTTTTATATGGTGAATTTTATCGTGCGTGTGTGTGTGTGTGTGTGTGTGTGTGTGTGTGTGTGTGTGTGTGTGTGTGTGTAGAACATGAGTGTGGAGGCCAGAGGCCTCCTCAATTGCTCTTCACCTTGTTTTTGAGTCAGTCTCTCACTAACCCTGAAGCTCACCGTCTTACCTGGTTCTTCCCCAGGGAGCACCAGGGATCCTTCTGTTTCTGCCTACTTGGTGCTGGGGGTTAACCATGCACCACCACACCCAGGTTTTACACAGGCGTGGGGGCTCAGGCTCAAGCTATCATGTTTGTGTGGCCAACACCTTATCAACTGAGCCATGGCCCAATCCCACCATCACTTTATTTTGGAGATAGGGTCTTACTACATGGCCCTGTCTGACCTGGAACTCACTATATAGAGCTGGATGGCCCCAAACTCAGAGATCCACATGCCTCTGCCTCCTGAGTGCTGGGATTAAAGGTGTGTGCCACCATGACTGGCTTGTCATCTTCTTTTAAAAAGAGGTACCAGAAATAAACTTAATAAAATAGGATCAGAAATGGATTGGTGGCTCAGTGGTTAGGTGTGCTTGCTGCTCTTCCGGAAGACCTGAGTTCAGTTCCCAGCACCCTTGCTGAATGGCTCATGGCTCCCTGTAACTCCAGGTCTGGGAGAGAAGAGGCGTCTGCACCAACTGCACTCATGTGCACACACCTCCACACGGGAACACACATACACACAATTAAAAAAAATACAGGCTTTATTTAAAAAACAAAATACTACCAGGATTTTAAAACCACAAAATGAAGACCAGGAGACAAAGGCTCTTTTGACGATTAGCCTGGTTTTACCCATAAAAACAAAACAAAATGCAAAAAGCAACTAGCAAGCAGAAAGCTAGACCATAAGGCTTTGGAGGGATTATGTTTTACGTTCTATCATTTGTTCTCACGATTGCCCAGGGCACACAAATTCTACACAGATACCACGGTCACAATTAGTTTATTTACAAAAGTATCTTTTCAACAAAGATAATTGGCCCAGAAGGAGGCGACATCCCAAACACACACCCAACCCTGTTGTGGGGCTTCTTGTACAGGAAGCAGGCTGGTCATGGTCTGCCCAGAATTCCATAGAATGATGGCTTGCATCCAAAGGTTCCCTGACTTTTCTGGAATGTTCTATTTACACCACACAATTCAGAACCAACACTAATCAAGAAGCAACTGTTACGTGACTGGGATCTATTTATCACATGTTATCTATGCACAATGAAGTGGGGAAGGTGTGCCGGGGACGCAAAAGCTGAACAAAATCTTGCTGAAACATGATTGGCAATCTGCATGAAGCCCACAAGACCACAGAAATGCTTCCCGTCACACCTCAGGTCCTGCTAACACGAGGAGTACTTAGCACAAAATCTAAGTCTTACTTCTTTATTATGTTTAAAGACTTTTCACTCAAAACACTAGACAGACATGAAATGTCAAACCCTTCTACCTGTAAGTCATTTGCTCTGTTTACACCTCTGTCTACTTCTTCACCAGAAACCGAGTGATGTCTGACCCGTGCTTCAATGCCAGGGAGCGCCGTTTCGCCTGAATCCTTTCCTTGGCTTGTTGGGCAGTTCTCTAGAAGTCAACAGATGCAGGTTCTGGTTAGGGGGAAGATGCTTTACTGTAGTCTGGAGAATGTACATTAGCCACATGTGTAGTACTTAGCCTACAGGAGGTGCTCCATGCTACAGGCAGAGTCCCTGCAGCTCTGGCAAGTGTCCTGAGATCCTAAGTTAGTGGTATCAGGAGAAAACGGATTCTTGTAGGAATGTCTCACTGCCCAGAAGACTATGAATCTTGCATTTGTGGACTAAGTGAAGCCATGAATCTCCTCATCTAAGTAAGTGCTTATAATACATCTAAATTTCCCAGAGTTTGTCTTCTTATTTTCTGGGCCCAGCTCAGAAAATTCATTCCCAATTCAACACATAAGACACTGTAGAAAATTAAATGGGATAGAACCGATTCTTCTGCTAAGTCCAAATTAAGAGGGATGGTTCAGTGATTAAGAGCACACTGACTGCTCTTCTAGAGGTTCAGTTCCAGCACCCACATGGCAGCTCACAGCAGTCTATAACTCCCAGATCTGACACCCTCATACAGATAAACATGCAGGCAGAACACCAATGCAAGTAAAAATAAATAATTAAAAATGTTTTTCACAAGAATCCAAAAACCAAACGAACATAGGAAAGGTGGCATTCCTTTTTGTGAGGTCTTTTATTCCTTTACACATAGCCTCATGTAGCCAGCCCCACATGCACTATGTAGCTAAGAATGGCTTTGGACTCTTTTTGTTGTTGTTGTTGTTGAGACGGACTCTCTGATTATCTAACTCTGGCTGTCCTGGAGTTTACTATGTAGACCAGGCTAGCCTTGAACTCAGAGATCCACCGGCCTCTCAAGTGCTGCCCTACCGTGTCTGGCTGACTTAGAACTTTCTTTTTTTCCTTCTGTGCAGCTCTGGCTGTCCCACAGCCCGTGGACTAGGTCTCACTCTGAGCCTCTCGCTTTGCCTCCCACGTTTGTGCAGGGCAGGGAGGGAACCCAGGCCCATGAGTGTTAAGTGAGCACTCTGCCCTCTGAGCTGTACCCTCTGCCTGGAGGATGAGTGACCAGGGTAGCAGCTGTCTTGCATCTGTGACGACGAACTTCCACAGAGCCCAGTGTCAGTGACGAAAGAAGCACCGAGCATTCTGCCTCCAGGTGGGGCTGCAAGCTTGCCCAGCCTTGCCCACCCGTGTGCACACTGCCCCCAGGGCTGCTTGGACTCACACGTGTGTGAGTGTCACTGACCTCCTTGTGGCACAGCGTGCAGAGAGTCTGCAGGTTGTCCAGGGAGCACTGCCCCCCTCCCTCATACACGGGCTTGATGTGATCCACCTGCCAGAAGTGGCCTTCTGCTGGGCTTCTCAGCATTTCATTGAGCTGCAGGAAGAACACAGAGTCAGCAACTCTGCAGATCTGTTATAGGAACTGCGGGCTGTGCACTGTGCAGTCCCTGTAAACAGCAAATCACAGGGAGAAACACATTAAGCTGCCTTTTATAGCTGTTGTTGTAAGTTAAAAAAACACACAAAACTCTAGGTTAGCAATTTGAAAGCAATAAAATGTGTTTCTAAAAGAGTTTTTTCCCCATGTTACCTAACATATTTGGAAAACCTTAAACCAAATATAAGACATCAGGGCTCCTGACAGTTTGGGGGGGGGTGAATTGGTTGTTTTTTGACCCTTTAAGATGCTTGGTATATTTATGAAGCCAAAAGTAAGAAAATAAGAACAGATTGGAAATTAAAAGCTTCTCAATATTAATAAGTAAATAACCATTCATTGTTCCTATATCAATGGCAGACTAACACTGTCTATCGCCCACAATGTTTTATTTGGTATTTTCTAGGTAAGATCTCTAGTATCCTAGGCTGGGATCAAACTAACCATGTAGCCAAGGATGACCCTGATCTCTTGACCTTCCTCTTCCACTTCCAAGTGCTGGGATTACAGCATGCAGCACCTTGCTGGGTTCACGCAGTGCTGGGCCTGGCACCCAGGCTTCCACAGGTGCCAGGCACGCCCTCTACTGTTGCATTCCCAGCTCTGGCCAGAACTTTGTTATTTACCAGACAACTTCCTAGGTTCATGGACTGGCATGGCATGAAATCTCCTGAACAAACTTCTGTACCTTGCATATTTGGAAGAAACGAAGATAGTTGCTTAAAACAGCCAGTATCTAGGCCAGTCTACACACACACACACTTAGCCTGCGATCCCCTATCCTATAATGAGATATGACTGAACATTTTACCTGAGAGAGTAACACCAGCGTGCACTAGGGTGCTGCAGCTGTTTAAGCATCAGAGATTAGTATGTAAGATGTTTTTATTTTTTAGTCTGGGATAAGAAAGAAATTACAATTAATTTTATGAATGCTGGCCATAGGAAGCCATGATAATTTCAACTCCGAATCAGAAAGAAACACAAGTAGAGGCATCATATTCCTGACCTCAAAGTGACAAAGACAGTATACTGCTGGCACAAAAAAAGATACCCGAGGACCCAGAAACAAACCCATACACCATGGACCCGTAACTTTTGACAGTGTTGTGGTGGTTTGAACGGGAACGGCCCCCATAGACTGGTGTGTCTGAATGCTCAGCCCATAGGGAGTGACACTGTTAGGAAGTGTAGCCTTGTTGGAGATAGTGTGTCACTTTGGGGCCAGGCTTTGAGGTCTCATGTGCTCAAGCTATCCCCAGAGTGACCCACAGTCTCCATCTGCCTGTGGATCGAGATGTAGGACTCTTGGCTTCCTCTCCAGCACCATGCCTGCCTGCACACCACCATGTTTCCTGCCATGACAACAATGGACTAAATTTCTGAAGTGTCAGCCAGCCCCAGTTAAATGTTCTTCTCTGTAAGAGTCGCTGTGGTCATGGTGTCTCTTCACTGCAATAGAAACCTAGCTAGGACAGGTGTCAAACATACACCCTGGAAGAAAGGACAACCTGTTTAGTAGATGATGCTGGTCAAACTGCACATTTGTAAAGAAGGCACTTTTGAGAAATGTGTAGGACTCTGGGCTGGACCAGTGACCTGACCAATGGAGTTGACCCCCCGAGTGTTCCCGGTAGCAAGATGGTGCAGTGACTTTGTCTTGCTGACTTTTGTCGCTGCTTGCCTTTCTCTCCTCTGTACTGAACTTTCTGCCTTCTGTTAGGAGGAACAGATTGAGCTTTAGAAGTAACTAGAAATGTCATTCTAAATGGCATACTCTTAGAAGAAAAGACTCCATTTGTCTGCCTTTTGCAGCCAATTTTTTCTCTCAGAGCATCTCTAACTGACAGACTCAGCGATCCAGAAGACGTCTTTATTTCTTTGGTAAACGTGCGGCAGAGCTCTCGACATGCTGAATGTGCCCCATGAAAGACTCCTGTGCAGGTGGTGCCCCCTCACCCCTCACCCCCCACCCCCCGGCTTCTTCCCTCAGCACTCCTGGATGTGATGTCTAACGTGACTGCTACAGCCCCAGACAAGCCACTTTCACCACACATCTTCAGGAAGCCCGAATGCCCAGGCAGCAGGCAACATGGGAGCTTGTCTGACACCCTCCTGAGGGTGCAGTTTCTCCCTCATCAATCAGACCAAGGGAAATCTCAGGAATACTGTTAGAGACATCATGTGTTTCTCTAGATCCAAGAGACACATTAATTCATCTTTTAGAAGTGAATGTTAGCTAATTCTATCACAATGTAGCAGGTAAACTAAAATATATAATTTGTTTCTTAATTAATTTTAGTCTCATTATGTAGCCCTGGCTATCCTGAAACTGTGTAGACCAGGTTGACCTTTGCCTCCCTAGTGCTGGGATTAAAGGCTTGTGCCACCACACCTAGTTAAAAATATATAATTTGTTTAAGTGACAGGAATCCCTCTGATGTTTTAGTGGGCAGGGATTGTTTGGGTGACCCTTTTTTTGATGAAGCACACCACAAAATGAAACATTTTCCTTTAGCTGGAAACTTAGAATAATTTTTCTCAGAAGATCAGACATCTGATTGTGCTTTGAAAGCTAAGTGAATACTGATAAATGTGCTAGGACAATAAATGGCCATAAACTTTTATTAAAGTGGAGTTTCCTTTTCACTGTGAGCTGCATTTTGGGGTTACCTCCTTAAGCCCCATCCTAAGATACGAACATACTGGAAGCAGCTCAGTGTCTGTTTGCCGCTGTGTCTCACCACATAACCTCTTAAAACAGAATCAGAATCCAAGCACATCCCAAGGCCGTATAGCCACAACTCAGGCAGCTGTCGGGACAGGAAAACATGTCAGGGGACACCGTGCGGATACAGCGAGACACACAGAATGAGGAAACGACCCTGTTCTTTCCCTAATCAACCCTGTAAAAAAGGGAGGGGCTAGAGACGAAACAAGGCACGAATGGCATTACGTCCAAAACAAAGACATGCTTTGATCCCAATTTGAACACAATGAATGAGACAACCTTGAAAAGCAAACACGTGCCTACTATAATTGAGGAGTTATCATTCTGTTGGCTGTATTTGTTTGTGGTGTCATTATATTTTAAGAGAGGAAGAGCTGAGAGAAGAGAGAGGGAGGAGCAGGGAGGGAAAGCAAGAGGAAGGGATGGGAATGAGGAGGGCAAGGTAAGAGAGACAGGAAGGGAGGAAGGAAGGGAGTCGGAAAGAAGGGAAAGACAGGAAGGAAGGGGGAGGAGGGAAGAAGGAAGGAGGGAGAGGAGAACAAAGGAGAGAGGGAGGAGGGAGGCAGGCGTGGAGAGAAGGGAGGCAGGCAGGCTTTACCCACGAGATGCGTAACGAACATGAGCTGACTGAACCAAGCGAGAGACAGATGGACGTCAACAGCAAAGATGGTGACCGCTAACGCTGGGGATGGCATGTGGTTCTTTTCTCTCTCCCTGGGTACATATTTTCACAAGGCTAGAAACTGACAGCGTCAATGGGCATTCACTACTGACTGCACCCCTGCCCCTGACATGCCATGACATACCTGCTCCAATGGGAGCTTTGCAGTCCAGGCGGCATCTAGAAGATTCTTCCTCTGACTTTTAGGAGCATCTCTGACTCGAAGAAATAGTTCGTGTGCATTCACACTGCATAGCTGACACACACCATGTTCTGTTGCAAACACCTGGGCCCTCAGGTAACTGTTATTGGATCGGATCCAGAATTCCTCCTGGCATCTTAGGGAGCAGAACCGTGAGTCCCAGGCGCTGGCTTTGGAGCCTTGCTCAGGCTGGCAAGTGGGATGCTGGCAGCGGAGACAGAGCGGCCTCCCTTCCTTATCCACAGCCTGAATGTAGCCTTTGGATGAGGATGGCTCCACAGTGAGGCCAGCTGGGCAGGGACTCAGACACGGGACACAGGCTCTGTCAAGCTGTCTACAATTGAACAAGACACTGTGCAGGTAAGTAATGAAGCTGGGCCATTGCTCTGTAGAGACACTTCAGATCTGGTGTTCAGTCAGGAGGCGAAATAGCTGTGCTCAGCTCCCCATAGTCTAACCAACTTGAGACAAGCCATGCTATAAAAGGTAATTTGACACGAGCAACCCCTTTCAGGCACTGGAATGCCTCCCCACTGAGCACAGACATCAGCCTATGCTAGTCAATGACAGGCACTTGAAATGCCCATTCAGACTAGTGTGAACTCTCTGGAACCCTAGTGGCTATGTTGCCCCTCACTTGACTGGCCCAAACACCTCCTCAGCCTCAAGCACTATGGATTCTTCCTGTTTCTTGGCTGCCTTACAGGGCAAAAGGACTGTTACAGCCCAAGTGACGGACTAGAACAGAACACTTGTTAATTATCAGGTTTCTCCAGGTAAACTTCAAGTTGGTCAGATAAACATTAGAAGTAGAGTACAACATGCCAAGTGCTCACCTGATCAGACCCCAAGCAGGCTGGGCTGATGCCACCGGAACAGTGCCAGGCTGGAGACAGAGCTCAGGTCTCCTGGCATCTGTCCCCAGGCTTGGGGCAGGTCACATAGACTCCTGGTTTGGGGCATTCCTTTTCTCTAATGTCTATGGTGATGAGCTCATGGGCCTCTGAGGGTTGTTAGAAGGCCTAAAAAGCCACTGAATCATGACACTGTTTTGTGACCTCTGAAGTGGTCACACCATGGAGGCTGTTAGCACAGAAACTGGTGTGTAAGCTTGAAGCGTATTCTTTACTATGTGTACGAATCATGGAACACTTACTTTGTAGAAGGGTCTTGTGGCCTGGACTCCCTGGTGATCAGACGGATATGGCCGCCATCAGCTTTCGCCTTATTCATGGAGGCCGTGGCAACATCTTCTTTAGTGATGTATCTAGAACAATTAGACGTCAGATATATTTTTCTCATGCAGGGGTTTCTGGGGAGGGAGAGACATGCTCAGTGTGTAGCCCCTGGTGAGGTGTTCATGCTCCGGTAATTAAGTCCTCAGCCATGTCCCTGTCAGCAGCCCTGAGTGAGTTCACAGGCCACACACACAAAGGTGTGGAAGCAGAAGTGTGAGACGAGCTGGGAAGAGGAAGAGGTCAGCAGGAGGGGACAAGAGAGGGGAATGGGAGTGAGTATGGACATAAGAAGAAAAGGTTTCTATCCTTTCCTGTTTTGAGTCACATTTTGTAGTCTTGGCTGGCCTGCACTCCCTATGTAGACCAAGCTGGCCTTGAACATGGAGAGATCTGTCTGCCTCTGCTTCTGAAGTGCTGGTATTAAAAATGTGTGCTACTCAGTTATTTTCTGTATTTTTAGAAAATTCTTACAATTTTAAAATTGTGTGTGCACATGTATGTATGTACACACACAATGGGAAAGAGATGGAGGGGGGAGAGAGAGAAAGAGGGGAGGGAGGGGGAGAGAGAGAGAGAGAGACAGAGAGACAGATACAGAGACAGAGACAGAGACAGCAGTACCGATAAAGGCCAGAAGAGGGCATCAGATTCCCCCTGAAACAGAGTGATAAGCACTTAGGAGCTGCCCAATGGTGGATTCTAGAAATCAAACCCAGATCCTCCTAAGTATCAAGCACTATTAACCACTGAGTTAGCTTTATAGCCCCTTAAATCTTTTAAAAATAATAATCCCTCTCCCCTTCTCTCTGTTACAAGTCAGGATTGGTTTTCTCCTAACACAGGTTCGGTGGCAAATGCCTTTACCACCGAGCCTGTAGCCAGACCACACTGGGTTGCCAATACATTGTTCACTGTGATCCTGGCAAAGGTAAGGAAGCAAAAGCAAGATGCAATTATGCTTCCTCTGCTGACCATGAAGTCTGGAAATGTGCTCGCCCTTCTGGCTGCTATTTGTTATATGGGAAACGCTTATCTTTGCTCCAAATCAGTTGTCACAATATTCGCTTCTCCAAGAAAATCAAGAGTCATTCATGATTTTTAATTGCCAACTAAACACAGTCTAGTTGAGTAATTACCTAGATCTGCTTAGCCTGTGGGCGACTACCGTGATAGCTCATTAGTGTAGGAGGTCCCAGCCCACTGTGGGTGGCACCATTCCCTGGCCAGATATATGGCCCCACATTGTGTAAGACAGCTAGCATGAACACGGACAGAGTGACCAGACAGCTAACAGGCAGGCAGCAAGCCTCATGGTTCCTCCCTCGAGTTCTCAAGCCAACTTCCCTCGTAGATGGGGTGTGACCTGGGAGTAGAAGCCGAACAAATCCTTTCCTGTCCAAGTTACTATTGCTGGGTCTTTTTCTGTAGCAAGAAAACTAGAATACAGAAATTTTCAAAATTTGGGGGAAGAAAAGAGCAGATGTGGGCATAAGAAACGATCAAATACACGCACGACTGACAGCCTTAAGGGAACTGCCTCTCCAGCTGCACAGAAACGTTCCAAGTGTACCCCTCCTCTTCTGAACTTCTCTTGGAGGCCCCAGCAAGTCACCTCCTCGCTCCAACACTGCACGGGTTTTGTGTAAAGTGATTCGTTTGTTAACTGAGCTCAACTGGATCTCCTATAAGCTCGGGGTTTCTGCCCAAAGCAGCAGCCCCTTCACTCGCCACAGACTTAGCAGAACAAAGCCCTTTGGGTGTGGGAACCAGACCCTCTCATGCACTATCAGTAATACACCTGGTGAAGATGCTGGAAGTAAGAAAGAAAATAATTCAATTAAAGGTGAAGGGGGAATTAGGTAGATGAAATGCAAATTACCCAATTAATTTTTTATAATTAGCACGACCCAGTTTCGAGGCTAGTTTACCCTTACTGGAGATATTTTAAATTCCACATGCATTTAAATATGCTCAGCTTTTTGTTTTGTTTTTTAACATGGGTGATGGGGATTTGAACACTGGCCTTCATGCTCACACAGCAGGGTCTCTTTACTCACTGACCCATCTGTCCAGCCCTCTCTATTTATTGTAATGGTTCCATGACACTCCACTATGTGGAGGATGAACCACAAAATAATCTATGTACTCAGTTTCTGATTAGTAGGCTATCAGGCAACAGCATACATTTATACCCGCCACGTTTTAAAAATGCCCTAAAGTCTAAAGAGGACACGGGTCTCCAAAAATACTTTGGTTTGTGTGTATGGCTGTTTTGTCTGCACACACATCTGTGCACTACTTGTGTGCCTGGTGCAAGCATGTGGGAATCAGAAGGCATCTGGTCCCCTGGAGCTGGAATTACAGACTGTCCTGAGCTGCTCTGTAGGTACTGGGAACTGAACCTGGGTCTTCTTGAAGAGCAGCCAGTGCTCTTAACCCCTGAACGATCTCTCCGGCCCTCCACTGTATTTTTACACATGAACTGTATATATAGGGATTAGGGTGATGGTCCAGCAGTTTAAGTGCTTGATGAGCAAATGTGAGAACCAGGGTTTGAATGCACAAGAACCCATGTAAATGCCAGATGGGTGTGGCAGCCCACCTGCAGTTCTGTCTCAGAAGCTTGCCATATAGTAAGCTGTGGGTTTGAGAGACATGTCTCAGTGAAAAAGATGGAAAATCAACCAAGGATATTCCTGACATCACCATATGCACATACATACATGTGTACATGTACTACACACACACACACACACACACACACACACACACACACGAAACAGAAACACATATACATACTAAATACCCAGAACTAGAACGTTTAATTCCAGGTTAAAAGTCTCCGCTGCTTTGAGCTGGGTTTAGCGCCTTTAATCCCAGCACACAGGAGGCAGAAGTGGTGGATCACTGTGAGTTTGAGGCCAGCCTGGATTATGTAGTGAGTTCCAGGACAGCCAAATAATTCCGTGAGACCCTGTCTTGACAAAACAAAAGACAACAACAAAAGTCTTGGCTGCTGTGTGTTGGGGTAAACCTGACAGGCTGTTCTCTTCTGCAGTACAGCAGTACAGGGCTCCACCAGTGCAGAGCATGCTTGCCCTCATATTCTCGGTAGCACAGCAATGCCACTAAGAATAACAGGGTAGCAGGCATCTGAACTCCCAGGGCTCCTATGTGTGATGGGAAGCAGAGACTCGAGAGTCTTGGCCATCTAGTCAGAGTTAAAAACTGAAAACAACCACTTGCTTTCATGTAAAAGGTTTAAATGTAAGTATTTTGAAACTACAAGAAAACGATTGACCCCAAAGAAGGTAAATGATATCTTTTAAGACTTAGTGTCAAGTTGCCAATATTCCATTTTTCATTGTGTCTTGCAGATATTCATGGAAGTATGCCAGCTCCCAAAAGGGTTATGGTAAACCTCAATTTTGGCAAACAAAAGGAGTCTTCACAGTTACCCACAAAACCAGTGTCTGCATAGGATTCCAGCAGAAGATAAACACTTAAACATTTTTTCTAAAGATTTATTTTAAGTATATGAGTATTCTATCTGCATGTATGCAGAAGAGGGCATCAGATCTCACTATAGACTGTTATAAGCCACCATGTGATTGCTGGGAATTGAACTTAGGACCTTTTGAAAGAACAGCCAATGCTCTTGACCTTTGAGCCATCTCTCCAGCCCCCAGGACAGACATTTTTAAAAGAAGTGTGTGCTTTGGGAAGTGGCTCATAGTGATGGATGTAATCCTGGGCTCTAGGGTGCTGACCTGCTGGGAAAGGATCAGACATAACAGGGCATCCACTCAATCAGTTCTGAGAAACGGAACCCACTCAGGAACCAATGCAATGGTTTCTGGTCTTGGTTATTTCCAGTCATCGTAGACTGAGTTACCTGGACGCTGGCTGCAAGACCTCAGCTTAGATAAGGCCGGCTACTGCTGGGAATGTTTGCGGCAGCTGTAATCTTGTGGGACATCTGACCACTTTTTCAGGAATCCCAAATTTAGTGCTTATGTCTTTTTTGTTGCTCTTCTTGAGACATTCAGAGACAGGGAGAAAGACAGAGACAGAGATAGATATAGAGATAGATAGACAGAGAGAGAGAGAGAGAGAGAGAGAGAGAGAGAGAGAGAGAGAGAGAGAGAGAGAGAGAGAATGTGTGTGTGAATCTATGTATGAAAGTGTGAATGCATTTGGGTGCCCGTGGAGGCCAAGGGTTGATATCAGGTGTCTTGCTGCCGGATCACTTACCACATTACCAAAACAGGGTCTCTTGCTGAATCTGGAGTTCACTAATTTGGCTAATCTAGCTAGTCAACTTGCCTAAAGGACCCTGTCTCTCTCCTGAGTTGACTGCTGCATCAACTCAGCTCATATCTGAGTGCTGGGGATATGAACTTTGGTCTTCAACAAGCCACTTACACCCTGAGCCATGTCTCCAGGCTGCCATCTAATGTGTTAAAGAAGTGAACCCTCCCTGTGCGTGCCTGCATCTCCCTTCATGCCCACGGGCTGAGGGTTTCTAAGAGGTTCTTAAGTCAACTTTCTCTAAAAAATAATCCAGTAGGATGACAAGGGGAGAGAGACTAGGAGTCTAACGCTGCCTCAGGCAGGGCTCGCCACTCAGCCTGGTCCTCCTCACTGCTCTGTGGACACACCCTTCACCCTTCCTCCTACAACTGCCACTCGGTGAGGCTCCAGCGCAGGGTGCCAGTGCTGAGCTGTCCCCTCTATGACTGCAAAGACCCGAAAGACTTCCCTCTCTCTTCCTCCATCCAATGGTCACCAAGGTGTTTAGATGAAGCCTGGTAACAGTTTTCCTCATTCTCCTTCTGTTCCAATGGCTGACTCCTTAAATAAGGCGGTCCTTAGGTATGTTCTGTAGTTGTGATCATCTAAAATGTCTCCATTGTGACCCTTAGGGCAGCTGTCTTCCACCTCTGGGAACATGGTGCCTATGGAGGAGGAGGTGCCTATGGAGGGGATCTCCCCTATGGGGGGAGGAACTAGATCCCCTTGAACTGGAGTTACGGATGGCTGTAAGTTGTTATGCGGGTGCTGGGAACCAAACCCAGGTCCTCTGCAAGAGCTGCAAGTGCACGTGACCACTAAGCAACCCCTCCAGTGCCTTGTTTACTGATGCAACATAGACTTACACAGGAAGGTGTAGTAGGTAGGTTTGTCACTGTGATTTCCTTCACAGAAAGAACTTTACTACAGAGCAGCTGGCAACTTCTCCTGACACTCTTCCTTCCACACCAAGAGAACCAGGGTTTATGACCACAGAGAAAGTCACTGAAGGAAGACACAGATGCTTACAATGCCACATACGGGGGTTAGACATAGACTTTTGGTGAAGATGGAAGATGATACTAAAAATGTGCCACAATTAACCTTGATTTTCCAACCGTGGACCTGACAGTTATTTTCTACTTCTGGAAACATGGTGGTGTGTTACAATAGGACCAACCCCCTGCTGCATGTCAGATGGAGACGCAGGGCATGCTCTGAGTCTCTCTGTGCTAACTGCCCCAGGCTCAGTAGGTTGCAGGTACACCAACCCCTGTCTCTGGCCTCTGTTAATGTAGGATTCCCTATAAGCAAAATTAAGACAATCTGATGTCTTCCAGCAGATCTGACCAAATTCACTACATATATAACTATGTTGCTATGAAATGCTGTAACTATTATTTTAAGTATAATTCTTTTTCCCTCCCTCCTTCCCTTAAAACAAGGTCTAATGTTGCCTAGACTAGCTTTGAACTCCTCATACAGCTGAAAATGACCTTGAATTCCTGATCCTCACACTTCCGCTTCCTCAGGTATGAAATTACAAGAATGTACCCCACAGCTGGCTTATCCAGTGCTACAAAGGGATACCAGGCAAGCACTCTATCAACCAACTGTCCTCGGCATGATTTCCCCAACTTACTAAAATTTCCTTAGTGGTTCCACAAGATGCCTCAGATGCTTACAATAATACATGCAGGGATTAGAAATGGAATCAGTCTATAGAAAAAGTCATGGGGGTGCTGGGGAGGAGGGGAGGGACCTGGGATTGACATGTGAAGCAAGCTTGTTTCTAATTTAAATTAAAAAAAATGAAGAAAAAAAACAGTCTTGGGAAGCAATATACTACAAGAAGGCCACCCTTACCTTTTAACACTGTTCTCTTTGGCCTGTTGTTTTGTGATCTCTTCCAAGGCCAGGATTGGACTACAGAATAGCTGCCCACTTTTCCTGATCATCCTCTGCTTCATGGCAGTCAGACCGTTCCACTCTCGGACAAACCTCAAAATCTGGTAGAAGAAGAGAAATGATGAAGAGTTAACAGTTCTCCTTGTACCTCCCTTTGAAAGTCAGGTTATTTACAACATGAGGAAATCAATGTCTTACAGCATCCTTACACAGGTTGAGTCCTATAGTTTGTCTTTCTTCAACTTGACACATCTCTCATGATATAAATTGCCTACGCCCTTTCATCCAGAGTCTCTAAAGGCACTTCAGCAGCCCAGCATATTCTCTGAACACACAGGTACCAACAGCGAGAATGTACTCACAGAGACCCAAACAGGGTAGAAGTATAGACCTCTGCAGCAGCCCCAGAAAAGCTGGCTTCAGCGAAGCAGACCCTGCAGGGGTGGCAGGGGATGGTGCAACTTCCCATGATCACACGGTACTACATGCCTCAGACACCACAAGACAAAAGCCAGCAATAAATGGAGGGTTATCACAATTGTTCTTTATCAATCAATTGTGGGTAACTGGTTCACTGGCTTTGGTTTTCTATCTATCTGTCTGTCTGTCTGTCTGTCTGTCTATCTATCTATCTATCTATCTATCTATCTATCTATCTATCTATAAAATAGCTCACTGCTACCTCTTCCTATCAGCAGGATACAGCTGACTTCCAGGGTTAAAAACAAAAATGAGCAAACCCATTGTTAGAATTTAACCTTAGAAGACAAAGTGTGATTCTGACAGATGTGTCACAGCTGCTAATCCCATGAATGAGAGTGAAAAGATGTGAGGATGAGTCTGTCCTCACAGCCAGGCCAGGTGTGATCACTCATCAAGGAAACAGATGCCACATTTATTCTTAGCACTGGTGGAAATAATAGACACTGTCTGGAGGGATAAAAACACAGCCTGCAATCTGAATCTGCAACAGTCATAAGGTTTGTTTCATTAAACTAAAATGACCTTTAAAATTGCTAAATATTATTTCAAATAAATGCAACTGTATCATTTCACACTCTTCTTACCTGTGAGCGAGTCTGTTTTAGTTGAAAGCTTGCTGGTAAGTCTTCCCAAAGGTCTAATTTTATATCCAAAGGAATAAAATTACAGCTCATCGGTTTTCCATCCTGATAACAGAGGAGGAGGCCTTGTTAGTGCACTTTAGTCTGTAGGCACTACTAACGACTTTCTAACAAAGTTTAATTCTGATGTAGCATGGCCAGTCTCCTAATTATACACCAGGAGGCACCTTCTAGAAAGGGGTGTACCCAACATGAGTCCCCTGCAGAGCTGAGGTGACAGGGGGAGGTGTCACTCTGCCTGGACACCGCCCAAGCTTTCTGTTGTCAGCCTGGATGCTGCACTCACTGCCCGACATAATTCTCTACTGCCTGACCTTGGAGATACACACGGAGATGATGAACATCTGCAAACTAACACAGAACAGCACATCATGACTCCTATCAAATGACAGCCTTGATAAACATCTGACTGTTCCGTCCCAGGTGGGCTGATACAGCTGTCCATTGTTATTGTCAAGAGGGGAAGGAAGACAGAGAAATTCTAGAGACTCACTTAAGAAATTTGCTTCCCCAAAGCCATGTTACATTACTGCCCCAAGATAGAGTCCATGCCCCTGCCTGCAGAGGAAGCTAGAATTGTATTGAGGAGTGTCACCTCTCAAGCATGAGTGGATGTCATCTCCTTTTTAAAGGAGGGGATGGTTGCCATGTGAAAATTCACTGCGTCCACAACAGTTTCTCATATTCAAATTTCTTAGTCAAAACAAATGCCAGCAGTCCACAATTGTTTTGGAAGAAGAAAACGATGAAGACATTTATGATGTGATATATACTTGTGTATGTAATTACATAATTCTTAATTTGGAGATATAATTCCAAATCCTAGATTTGGAATTTTCCTGGCAATAATCAGCTCTTTCTGACACAGGATGCTAAAGTTCTGTTACTGACTCCCTTATGGGGTACACTCGTAGGCAATGAATTAGGGATTTTACAAACTCCTACTTGTAGAGGTTCCTTGGGCCCTTCTAGGGTTAAAAGGTAAACTGTCATCCCCACCCAGTCACAGCTGAGAAAAGATGTCAACATTCCATCCATCTATACATCTGTTTAGGAAATGACAGTAGTTGCATGATGCCATTTTGATGGTAATGGGATACATAAGTATTTAGAACAGCCATAAAAATGTCTGAGACTGTGGACAGAAATGTTAAGGACAGGAAGCCCAGGCAGGAAGCTGGGATGCTACTTAAGTACTCCACCTTTTATCAGGAGTCCCTGAGTACGATTATATTCTCTGACTCCACCCTGAGGAGGACAACCAGTGTTACAATACAATAGTGTTTACAGACCCAAGGGGCTTTGGAAGCCACACTATGTTCTGACTGGGCAGTCTCTTGGCTCCTAATCTTTATATATCTATGTGGGGTCATCATTCTGCTCCTTCCGTGTGACGGTGAGAGGGGACAGCATGGAGCTCCATCAAGAGGTTGGCAGGTACTAAAGACTGCTTGGAGATGAGTGGGTAAGTCAGACATGCTCCCCAGTCTGCCTCCCCTCATGCAGAGGCTTCCCAATCTGGGCTGGGATTCAGGCCTACAAGGGTAACAAGTACCGCCTTCCTGGTCTCTGGGGACTCAGCCTCATTGTGGTCCACAGTGGATGGTGTGTAGTGGTTTGGTATCTGTGCAGTCATTTCCTTCTGACTGAACATGACTGTAGCATACTGCATATCAAATCTGCTCTTGTAGAAAACACAATAGGGGGCTGAGGAGATGGCTCAGAGGTTAAGAGCACTGGCTGCTTTTCTAGAGGTCCTGAGTTCAATTCCCAGCAACCATATGGTGGCTCACAACCATCTGTAATGAGATCTGGTGCCCTCTTCTGGTCTGCAGGCAGTCATACAGGCAGAATACTGAATGCATAAAAAAAAAAAAAACTCTGCCAACTTCTCCATACTTCTATCAGTATAGTTAGGACAATGATCCTCACATGGCTGCCAAGACCTTCCCAGAGTCACAAGCTGGGATATTATCTGCCCGTCAGGCTCTTATTCCCTTATGAGTGAGTTCTCCTTAACAGTCTTGCAGGTGGATCTCTGAGTTTGAGACCAGCCTGGTCTACAGTGTGAGTTCCAGGACAGCCAGAGTTACACCGAGAAGCCCTGTCTTGACCTCTCTATCCCCATCCCCCCCCAAAAAAACAAACATCCCCATCACCCCCAAAAAACAAACAAGAAGCACTTGTTATTTATATAAATGTTAGTTATTTTAAAACTGAATATGAATACATGAATATTTTAAGTGTCTTCATTTTACCACAGAATGGTGTATCAATAGGTATAACCCATATCAACAAGAGCTCTTAGGGTCTTCAACACATTTTTGTCATAAAAAGGACTCTTCGGATTAAAATGTGTGACCTTTGCTAGCGGAGAGTCTGAGTGGTCACATCAGGAAGCCTTCTCTCTGATGCTCAGCACCGAGGGTGGGGTGAGGGTGTGGGTAGTGGGGGTGGGGCAGTTGAAGATGGGGGCCGGGTGTTAGGCAGCTATAAGACTGTTGCTCCAAATGCTAAGTAACCTACGGGGATGAACTCATTCTGTTCTTGCAACAAACCCTCCTTACATTTTACAGCCGAGGCAAAGGAAGCAGAGAGCAGCTGGATGTGTCCAAGATAAACAATAACACTGAAATCGAGGTCTGTTCCCCTGAAGTCTTAATGACTCTGCTTTTGCCTCTCCTTGTCTGTAGATTTTACACAGGAATTTGATGACAAGCTGTGTGGAGGCAAAAAACTGGGCACCTATCTCATTGTTAAAGATCTCCACTGAAAAGTGACAAAAGAAGCCTGTCTTTATATTCTGAGATACAGAATCTGTGTGACACTTACCTTGGTATAGAGGTGGATCCTGTCTGTGTTCCTACTTGCACAAAACATGAAGGCCTCAGACACGGGAAGGGCTCCTGAATTGTTCAACTGCTCTAATGAAGAAGACAAAAGAGAATCTGAAAGGCCTGTCTAATCTCTGTCTAAAATAGCATATTTGGGGTCTGGAGAGATGGCTCAGCAGCTATGAACATTTGCTGTAATCTGAGTGACTGTGGTTTGACGTCTAACACCCACTTGGGTGGCTTACAATGCCTGTAACTCCAGCTTGAGGGGATGTGATACCCTCTTCTGGCATCTTCGGGTGTCCACACACACGATCATATACGTGGTCAAACACAAATAAAAATAGATCTTCAAAAAATAGCTTATTTCACTGTTGTACAGGTTAGAATGATGAAATAGCAATGTAGAAAAAGTAACACATTTGATAAGCTTGTCTAGGCTTGAAATAAAACTCTCAAGGCAGGTCTTCAAAAAGTATCGGCATGTTTGGAACCTGGGCCTTCTTTACTAATGACTGAACAATAGATTCAGAATCATTTGAAGACATATGGGTTTGTCAGAAGGGACCCTTTACTAACACCAGAAACCATTACCAGACTTGAAGGGGTTTAGGATTTCTCCCTTTTGCTAAGCTAAGCATACTGCAGCTGGCACTAAAGAGTCCCCGTTTGATTATGAGCATCAGGACAGGCCTGCTGAGTGCCACTGATGCGCCTGGTTCCCTGTGGCTGCTGTCTCACCCGCAAGGAGGTGACCAGACATCTTTATTTTCTTATCAGCGCTTAAAAGCATTTAGTTGGTCCCATTATCCAGAATTCTCTAAGAGAGACAAAACTCACAGAGGCAAGTCTACATAATAATTAGAGTCAAAGGGGCTGAGGCTGTAGAGTACTTGTCTAGCATGCCAAAAGACCCTGGCTTGGATCCCTACTACAATTGAAATCAAACCCCCAGTGAGTGCAGTGAATGCCCACTAAACACATCAGTGGCCCAGGAACTGTGATAATTACTATCCTCAGTGCATCTCTCACATGAAAAGCACATTTTAACAGGAGGAAGCTCAGCCCATTAACTTGCTCAACTGTAAAAGGGGCTCTAGAGCTTGTACTCTTAAAATGCACTTACTATTTTTATTTATGTGATGTGTACTCCCGTGTGAATTTATGGGCACTGTGTGCGTGCAGATGCCAGTGGAGGCCAGAGGGCATCAGTTAAAGTGATCGTGAGGCCCCTGGGTTGGGTACTGGGAACCAAAGCCAGGTCACTCTTGGCCACTGGCTGTCTCTCCAGTTGCAGAGCTTATACTCAGTTCAGTTGGGGTTTGTCTGTGACCTCTGAACATTCTTTCCCAGGTCTAGAAGCTCAGCTTTGCTCACCATTCCACTAGGTAATACCAGCATCCCATTAGTTTTCTAGTCTAGGCACTGGCTACTTTGCAAGTCTAGTTTGTGGATTATTCTTATAAATGAAAAAGAAGTAACAAACTCTGAGAACCAGGGAATGAAGGGGAAGGACACATTAGTGGGAACAGAGAGGGGAGGGCAAACATGGTCAAGGCAGAATATGCACATATGGAACTGTCATAGTGAAAAGCCACTAATTCACAAAATTAGCGAGTGTTAATGATTAAAAAATCTCTGGAATTGGTGTCTAACAGTCAGTGGTAACAAAGGCATGTTGCAATTATTATTGCCTTGGTGGCAGCTGTGAAGAAGTTGTGTGAGCCCATGCAAGCGAGCTCATGGCTAAAATGCTACTGCCATAAAGCCATTCATGATGTACATGCACTCACTGCTCTTACATGTATTGGATTTAGTTAACTTCAAGACTCCTAGCCCCCACACGTATGCCATGGCACACACATGGCCATCAGCAATCACACACACACACACACACACACACACACCAGTAATAAATTAAATTAAAAGGTATTTTTCAATATGTTCTAGAATCAAAAGGAAGAAGAAATATCAAAAAACCTGGTTAACGAATAGGAGAGTGCTAGGTGGTGGTGGCACATGCCTTTAATCCCAGCACTCAGGAGGCAGAGGCAGGTGGATCTCTGAGTTCAAGGTCAGCTTGGTCTACAAGAGCTAGTTCCAGGAAAGCCTCCAAAACCACAGAGAAACCCTGTCTCGAAAAACAAAACAAACAGACAGAATAGGAGAGCACAGTTTTCATACCAAAGAAGCAAATATTGGAATAACTAAAATCTCTCAGGAAGCTGGCTCCTGTTTGGTTCGTAGGCATGTTGTGCAAAGAGTCCCCTACTATACACCAAACAAAGCCACTGAAGGCAGGAGGTACTGCTGGTCCAGATCCCTGGACAAACAAAAGGCACGGCCACAGAATGTGGCAAGTTTGGGCTTTGTAATGTGCTGTGCCTCCGTTTCACAAGAGGTTCTTTCTGCTGACCTCGGTCAGAAGATCATTTGTAATCAGTGTGTCTTCATATTGGAAGAACTCTGTATTAATGTGTAAAGATTAGAAGTCATTCTCTGACAAAAGGCCAACAGGGTCAGTGCCAAAGTAGCTGACACTTGGTGGGAGCTGAGAGCTGCATTATGGGAACATACCCTTTTCAGTGTTCCCAAGAAGGGTAATGATGGTCTGAGACTGCAGATGAATCTGTGGAGGACACAGCTTTCCCTCCAGATTTGTATGTTTCTAGTTAGAATAAAACTGCAGCTCCACAGCTTTTCAAAACACCTTTTTCCTGCTGTTTCTCATGGAAATCCATGTTTGCTGGGAAGACATGAAATGTGACTCTTAGATAGTTGAGGAAGGAAGCAGGGACAGGTACAGGGAGATGCTAGTGTGTCTGCAGCAGACAAGGATGACACAGATTTGCAGGCGGAGTGGGCATTCTAAAAGCTACTGACTTTTAAAAAGTACTTATTTACGTGCTAAAGTGTGTGTGTGTGTGTGTGTGTGTGTGTGTGTGTGTGTGTAGGTCAGAGGACCTTCTACTATGTGGGGCCTGGGATCAAACTCTGTGGTCAGGCTTGGTGGCAAGTGCTTTAACCCACTTGCTGGCCCCTGCTTTGGTTTTTTGAGACAGGATCTCCTGTAGCCCAGACTGACCTTGAATTCACTATGTAACTGAGGACAACCTTGAACTTCTGATTTTCCAGCCTTCCGTATGTACCACCACAGCTGGTTTATGTTAATGTTTGGTATTGAGCCTGGGCTTTGTAGGCTAGGAAAGTCTTGTATCAATGAGCTACTCTCCGGTTCTTTGTAGTGGTAGGCTAGCAGATGTCTGTACCAGGGAACCAGTGCACAGCTACCAACCGAGGTCCTAGCAGGGAGGAACTGTCCAACGACAATGTCCAGATTAGTCCCCTGAGTATGTGCAATCCCAGGCCCTACGAGTCTTCAGCACTTTGGTTTGGTCTTCTAAGAAGCTAGGGACACACAAGAGGATGAGCCCCAAGTGTATCCTGTTTATGTAAAGGCTATGAAATCAGATCTAGACCGTGTTCACTCTAACACACGTTTGGAAAGACTCTGAGGGAAGGAAGAGGAAGGCTGAGGAGAAAAAGAAGAAAAGAAATGAGAACACATTAGGTTTAGGCTTCCTTCCTTCCTTCGTTCGTTCCTTCCTTCCTGTAGGACAGTGTTTCCCTGGCTGTCCTGGAACTCGCTCTATAGACCAGGCTGGCCTCAAACTCGGAGATCTGCCTCTACTCCCGAGTACTGGGATTTAAGGCATGTGCCACTGCCTCCACCATCACTCAGCTAGATTCAGAAAACTCTTAAGTGAGCATTTCATTTTGAAGTATGATTCTCACTCCAAACAATATGAGTGTTGCCAGCAGCTAACTTAGAAAGTTTTCTGGAGCCTCATCTAACAATTTAGGATAGTCTTTTTAAATTACGAATTTATTAAAATTATTTATTTATTATGTATACAGTGTTTTGCCTGCATGTATGCCTACATGCCAGAAGAGGGCACCAGATCTCATTAAAGATGGTTGTGAGCCACCATGTGATTGCTGGGAATTGCTGGGAATTGCTGGGAAAGAGGAGACAGAGCTGGGCGGTGGTGGCGCACGCCTTTAATCCCAGCACTCGGGAGGCAGAGGCAGGCGGATCTCTGTGAGTTCGAGGCCAGCCTGGTCTACAGAGTGAGTTCCAGGACAGCCTCGAAAACAATACAGAGAAACCCTGTCTCGAAGAAAAAAAAAAAAAAAAAAAAAAGAAAGAAAGAGGAGGCAGTACTCTTAACCACTCAGCCATCTCTCCAGCCCCTAGGATGGTTTTAAGATGTACACCAATCTGCAGGTAACTATGGTCACAAATCAAGTCAAAAAAGAAAAGAATCCTAAATTACAGTATTCAGCCAGCTGGCCCATGAGAGATGGTATGTACAACTACTGGCTGGCATTTACTGCCCATCACAGCTGTAAGTAACACAAACAGGACCAAGCAACAAATAAATAAAACCTCAACACCAAGGAGTCCAAGTGCAGTCAGTCCTGATTATTTGGTTTTTGTGTCTGTGTAGAATGTGTGAATTTGCACCCGAATGCTGGGTTTACAGGTGCGCATGTAGCTCACACCTAGTTTTGCATGTGGTTGGTGGGGACCAAACTCAGGTTCCCATGCCAGCAGGGCAGGCACTTTACCCACTGAGGCATCCCTCTAGCTTGCTTCAGATAGCCTTGAAATTATGTTCCTTAAAATTGTTTCTTAGAAGAATACTAATTGAGTTTACCCATCTAAAAGCACCCACTGTGAAAAGGATTAATGACTTGCTGAAGAGCTGTTTTTCTCTGTCAGTCTCATTGCTGTGGCCTGACGTACCACCCAAAGACTAACAGCTCTCTCCCTGCCAGTGAGCTCCTGTGGTTGGGCAGGACAACACTCCGGTGGCAGCAGCAATTGCTGCTTGTGATACTATATAGCGTTGATGCCAGCAGAGAGCATCTAGTATTTAAAGATGTTTCTGAGAGAGGCAGATGTTTGTAACATAAAAGGGAATAAAAGGTACTTGGGACAAGGTATCACAAATCTAGTAATGGCATTATGTATTAAAGTATAGGGCACTTATTTATTTAGTTGGCTTAGTTTTCAGACTCACTATGTAATCCAGGATGACTCTGAATTCACAATATTCCTGTCTCTTCCTCCTGAGTCCTGGGATTATAAACTTTCACCACAACTGGTTTATGCAGTGCTGGGGACTGAAGCCATAGACTCACACATAAGTGGCTAAGAACTCTCCCAACTGAGCCGCACCCCTAGCCCTCACATAGTTACTATGTGAACACTAGAAACGGAAGCAGTACCTACGATTCCCTGCCTGGGACGTCACTCTGTCTTCCTTCTCACCTTCCAATGCTGCTTCCTTGCTAGCAGGCACCTGCTCGGGTGCTGGCTGTTCAGGGAGTTGTTTTACACAGTCCAAACTAGCCTGATCATCTTTGGAGGTGTTCTTCTGAGAACCAACTTCCTCATTTTTGTTGTCATCCTGCATCTGGTTGAGGCCAGCTAGAATTATTAAAATAAAGAAAGTTACATGTAATAAGCATAGATTAAAATGTCACACCTCAATTTTATTATTAGAAAAAAAAAGGAAGAAACAGGCGGGCATGGTGACACATGCCTTTGATCCCAGCACTTGGGTGGCACAGGCAGGCAGACTAACAAAACATTCATCAAGGAATCTGCCTTGCCTCGCCTCCTGAAGGATCCCTTCTAAGATGCACAGATACACAAAAGTGTAAACAAACAAAAACTGTATGTACAAATGAGGAGAGTCAACTTGAGCTTGTGTAAGAGAACTGGAGGCAGGAAAGGCAGCTAGCAAAGGGCGGAATCCAGAACCACAACAGAACAATATTAGACTACTGCACATAGAACAGGTTGTCCCACTCACGCTCAGAGCTGCTGCTGAGCCTGGCCAAGGGCTTATACTGTTGGATATACTCTACATAGCACTGGAGAGCAACGGAGACCTTCAGACAGAGGAATAATGATGATTGCAGTTTTGGTGGTGGTGGTGGGTATTTTTCCCACCACCTTTATGTAGCCTTGGCTGGCCTTGAACTCACAGAGATCCATCTACCTCTACCTCCAAAGTGCTATGATTAAAGGCATATGTTGCTATGCCCAGCTGATGCCCATTATTAAAGGGTGATTCTGACTGTTTTGCATGGAAAGATTCCAAAGGGCAATCTAGAGGTTGCTAGAGTAGAGGTTGCTACTGAGCTGATGATGCTTTCATGTGGTAGCAGCAGGAGTTGGATTGGGATATATTTTGGAGTTTAACAATTGAGGGGAGGTGAGAAAGAGATCAAGGCAGGCGATCACTATGCCAACCGTAATGTTGAGATGACCCTGTTATTATAATTTTTATTTCTTCTCTAAGCAGATTGTTTCATGCTCACAAATGTGTTTATTTTTTAAAGTTTCTTGGCAGGTTGCTTACTGAATCATAGGTTTAGAAACTTTCATTGTTGTTCTTGGCATCATATGGGAAAAATCAGAACTATCAAAGATATAATAAATTATGATTTCTAAAAATATAGTGATTGATTTTAAGTTTGATTTTTCCCCTAAGCTAGTCACCTGATAATCTTACTGTGAGCTGACATTATTTTATAGTCTCCAGTTGCTGTATTTTGATGGCCTGCATCAGTCACGGACTGCAGGAGGTCATGTTAACTGTGGCAAGGGCACTACATGGACAAAGTGTGTGGTTCTGGTTTAGTTTCAGAGAACAGGTGCCCACATAACAAATACAATTACCCAGCTGGCCACTTGTCAATTTTGATAGAGTTCTCAGAAGTGAGAGAGGAAAGACTTAGCGACTGATTTTCCTTCAGAACAAAACTGAGAGAACAAGGAGCAGGGAAAATTGTAACATCAGAGTTCTTTTAGCTCTGTCTTTGTTAGAGTCAGTTTTGGAAAGAAAGACTATATATTGGAGAATTGGTGTGAACAACTACATATGCCATTGATAAAATAACCTATTAATAGTTTCTAAAACAGTCAATTGAGCATTTTTTTCATTGGCATATTCTCTGAAACTGAAAACAGAGAGAATACTAATGGCATTTTTTCTGTTACATTGTATTGATTTTGTATTTGTGTGTGTTGGCAGATTCCTTTAGTAAAACCTTGAGAAGAGCTCATGACTTGTCAAGCAAAAACACCATAGCACAATGTATATTAAGCCGGCAAAGTAGTTACCAAATGATTCCCCTTAAATATAGAAATTCTCTATAGTTTCCTTAAAAACAAGAATATTGACTCGTTTTATAACAGCAGGTCTGTGATGGGCAGCACATTTGCTACCATAGCAACAAGGCTTCTCCTGCCCACTCAGCTCACATCCTGCTGACATTAATCAGAAATGCCCACTTGTGTCAATTTAGTGCCAAGCCAGTGACACTCAGGATATATGTTCTTGACAGAACCAGGAGTCACTCACATTGCACAGGGGATGAATTTACAGTCTTCACTCAGTGAAACTCTTACTCCATTTTGAGGGCTGCAGGCTGATGACTCACAAGACACTTTGGTAACGATAGCACTGAAAACTTGCACGGTCTTCAGGCCCCCCATCCCTCCACCCCACTTCACCGTCTTGAGGACTCACCAGCTCTACTCTGAGGGTTCTCACACATCTCACAGTAAGGAAGGACTGAATCATTGATGAACGTGCAGAAGCCACACTGCCAGCCCTTCTTGGGAAAGGCTGGGGAGGCCAGCGGGGACTCCACCTCATGGACACCTTCCATGGATCTGGCTTGCAGGGATGGTTTCTCCTCCAGGGCACTGCTGTGGTACTCGGTACTCACTGACTTCAATCTTTTAGTTTCAGGTTCAAAACCATCTTTGTCATCACTTGCAGTCACTTTTTTAGGGTCAGAGGCCACCACTGTTTTCTCTTTGAATGCCTCTGGTTCATCACAGGATGCTTCCAACTGTCTCCTTTTCGGTTTTGGTAAGAAGAATGATCGAATATCATGTTGTCTTTCTTTTTCAAACTAAAAATCAGTCAACAGTTATCAAATGAGGGAGCAATTCTTCTTAAATGAAAGAACTTAGCATTTTCATTAACCAGACTGGCAGGAAATGAATCTAATTATAGTGCCACTCTTCATAAATACATATAACTCAGTGGAATAAACACGACCAAGCACTGAGTGAACACAGCCATGTCCTTCCTATGCACTTTAGCTTAGCACTTATTGTGGCCTCAACTCATTTAACCCAGTGCTAGCTCTGTGGAGCTGGTATTCGGGTGAGGAAACACAAACACTATGGAGAAGTTAGAAACGTTATGAAATAAAAATATACTTTCTAAACTACCTGCCTTAGATGCACATCAGGTAAAAGAAGGAAATGTGTATGTCAACATTTCAGGCATATAAAATAATATTTTAAGTCAATCAAGAACCTAGAAAAATGCTTTTATGGCCAAACTGTAAACACACTATACACAACTATGACACTCATATTAAAACATTACATTGACCAGGACACATTTTTCAAATAACATTAAAATAATCATTCTGACCTTTACACATACATATACATGTGAATGTGTATTCCCACATGTATTTCATACATCTGCAACATACAAACGCACAGATACATAACACAGACACACATATACACAAATGGAAATAGAAAAAAGAAAACCTTTTCTACATCTTAGAGGATTTCATTAACTTCTATCTCTAGTATCCTAAAATTTCATAATTACCTACATTTATCTATATCTATGTGATCTATATGCCTCAAAATTCTGCTCAGCACTCTGAATACCTTATTAATTTGCTTTTTTTTTTTTTTTTTTTTTGGTTTTACGAGACAAGGTTTCTCTGTATTGTTTTGGAGGCTGTTGGTCTAGGCTGGCCTCGAATTCACAGAGATCCGCCTGCCTCTGCCTCTCGAGTGCTGGGATTAAAGGCGTGTGCCATCAATGCCCGGCTCTTTCTTTCTTTTTATAAACAGTTTAAAACTTTTTTGAATGAGAAGCAAATAAAGCAGATGTCCAAATGAGGGCTGTTCTTGGTCATCAACTTGACTACATCTGGAGTTAAGTAAAATCCAAAAACGGAGGGCACACCTGGGAGGGGTTTTTGCCTAATTTGAAGCTGGAAGCTCCACTTCTAATCGTATCTTAGAGGCGGGAAGACACACCTTTAACCTTCTGCTGGAAGGCTATGGAAAAACATGGAAGAGCAAGGTTTCGCTCTTTGCCTGCTTGCCCTTGCCTTGTTAGAAAGTCCATTCCTTCTCTGGCATTAGAGCCTTTTTCCTCAGGCCAGTATAAACTGAAGACTAGTTGAGACATGCAGCCTCATGGACTGAACAACTACTGGATTCTTGAACTTTCCTTCCACAGCCAGCTACTGTTAGATTAGCTGGACTGCAGCTTATAAATCATTATAATAAATCTCCTTTCTATATAGATAGACTTGTTCTATAAGTTGTTACTCTAGAGAAACAAGATTAATACAGTTATATATGAAATAAACATCAGTGAGCTATCACATACATTCAGTTGTGCTTAATAATACTCATCACCATCATTGGATGCATGTGTGTGTATAGGCCTGAGATTGATGAAGGGTGTCTTTCTCAATTACTCTTCACCTTATAAACCGAGGTAAGGTCTTTTTTTTTTCCGGGGGGAGGTTTTGAGACAAGGTTTTTCTGTGTTGTTTTGGAGCCTGTCCTGGAACTTGCTCTGTAGACCAGGCTGGTCTCGAACTCACAGAGATCTGCCTGCCTCTGCCTCCCAAGTGCTGGGATTTTAGGCGTGTATCACCAATGCCCAGCATTTTTTTTTGGTAGGATCTCTTCTTAACACAGGCTCACTACTTTGGCTAGTCTGTCTGACTGACCTATGCTGATGATACATGTCTCCGCCTCCTTTGTGCTGGAATTACAGGTGGGCCACCATGTGCATCTGACTTTTAGTGGCTTCTGGAGACCCAAGCGCTAGTCATCATACTTGCATCAACATAACTGATTTCCCCACAGGCCATCTCCAGTCCCCCAGTCTACATTTTAAATAATTTTTTTTCTTTAAAGACTTACCTATCCAGCTCAGCATTTAAAGAAAAAAAAAAGTGTATAGGAGTTCTTAAAATGAAAGCAATCTTCCCAACAATTGTAGCATGAATAATAAAAACCCAGAGAAACATATTGTGGTTCAAGTTGAAAATGAGAAAAGCAAAGCAGTCAAGCCACTAGAGAGTTCTTACCTCTACCAAGGCTAGGCCAAAGGGAGAGGGGCTATCCTGTCCTCAGAGTGACTGCAGACTGCAATGCTCTCCACCAACTTCAGACTGCCCTAAAACTGCTCTAAACCCCTGCTTTAGTTCAGTTAGTTCAAGATCAGCCTGGTCTACAGAGTGAGTCCGAGGACAGCCAGGGCTACATAGAGAAACCCTGTCTCAAAAAAAGAGTATCTAGTTTGGGAAAGCATCATTTGAGAAACTCTCATTTTGTGCTAGAGGGACCTGAGAGGGATGTGTAGCAGTGAGAGACTGCACTCTGAAATAGAAGTCAGCCTCTGCTGTGCTCAAGGTCACCAGCAATGTGTGGTAGAGATGGGTGAGTCCAGTGTACCTAATAATGGAAAACCACTGAAACTTCAGCAAACAAAGTCCAGGAACGAGGAAGTGGTTAGAAACAAATAACTAATAATTTCTCAAACCAAAGGATACGCCAAGAATAGAATTCTTGCAAACAGTGCATGATTAGTGAGGACTCTGCCTAATTCTGAGGATGGTTAGGCTGGATAATGAGGAATTCTGTCACAGGTAGTGAAACTGACAAGAGCCTATGTTGGCCCCAGGGCTGCCAGTGGCTGGAAGGGCTGGCGGAAATGGAGATTCCTTTACAATCATCAGTAAGCAACCTGATTCCTAGCATCAGTTGAACTTTCTGATTAGAGCCTCTGGGCACATGAGCAGGGAGTTACTGATGAGGTTTCTTTGACCTTTATCAGCTATGATTGGCAGAAAAATAAGACAGAAAAATCTCTTTGATACATCCTAAAGGTAATTACACACGCTGGTTGGGAAGAGAGAAGGATTAGTGATATGCATTCTTGCAAGCCACAGACAGCCTCTGAGACTGACTACACTTGTTTGAACGTGTGTGCATTTTTTTTATTTTTGGTGGAAGAAGGTCTTTATTTCCTCTACAGTCTCAAAGGAACTCAAGGCCCAACTAAGGTGAAGGTATGAGAATAAAATATCTGAGTTTTACAAGCTCCATTTCTCTCACCAACTTAAAGTAGATAAAGAGGGACTAATTGTTCACAAGTAAAAATGTACACTGGTAGTAAAGGGAACATATATATATATGAGTGTATGTCTTTGTGTGTAGTATTTGTGCATGTGTGTGTATGCATGGGAGTGATGCCCATGACTGTACACGAAGGCTGGAGGACATCGGGTGTCCTGTTCTATTTCTCACTGTCTTATTCCATTGAGCTAAGGTCTCTCACCCAACCCAGACTTCACCTCTTTTCAGATGGGATTGCTGGGCAGCAAGCCCCAGTGAGCCTTCTCTCTTAGTTCCCCACTGTGCTAGGGTTGTAGGAGTTGGGAGCCACGGCCAGATTTTTATGTAGGAACTGGGGATCTGAACTCAGGTCTTCATGTTTGCACGAGTACTCTTACCCACTGAGCTGTATCCCCACCCCCAAGAAAACAAAGTATGAATTTCCTCTTTTTGTTTTCTTTTTTCTTTGAGAGATGGTATGATATAGTCCAGGCTGGTCTGGAACTTGTTCAGTAGCCAAGGGAGACCTTAACCTCTGGCTGCTTTTGCTTCCCTAGCATTAGGATAACAGGTGGAGGCCACCGTTTCTGGCTTTTGGTTTTGCAGAAGTATCTGGATACTTCGTGCAAATCCCTCTGCCTTCAAAGAATACTACTTTAAAATTTAGTACACAAAGCAACTCTTGTGCAGCCACAACACGTGCTCCTGCAGTTCTCTGCACCCCGCTGCAACCGCACTCGGGAGAAGCCCTGGCACAGGAGTGGAGACTGACAGCAGCTGAAAGAGGGTGCTGAGCACGAGGGGTGAGGAAAGTATGGATCCTAGGAAGCCGCTGCACTACAAGGATCTAAGGGATGCAAATGTGGGAGCTGGAGAGATGGTTTAGGGGTTCAGAGCAAGCACGACTGTTGCAGAGGTCCCAAGTTTGGTTTCTAGCACCCACACACAGCTCCAAAGGATCCCATGCCTCTGCCTTCATGGACACCTGCTTCACAAGCATACTCTGACTTTCTTACACACCATACTCTCTCTCTCTCTCTAATAAAAATAACTTGATGCCATGCAGCTTAAAACAAAACACACAATCCCTAACTGTGTCTATCTGCAGATGGGACATCCAGCAGACAGGTGGGTGTTTAGGACATGGCTGGTTAGTAAGAAGAGGAAGCAACTTTGCCTGTGAGATGCTGGTAGAACTAGTATGGTGTACCGCCCTGTGAAGTGTGGAGGATCAGAAGTTCAAGGGCATCCTTGGCAACGCAGTGAAGCTGAGCAGCTTGGGAAACATAAGATTCTGTTTTAAAAAAATGCTTCTAGTGAATTTTTGTTTGTTTGTTTTGAGACAGTCTTATGTAGCTCTGGATGGCCTTGAGCTTGATATACAGCAGAAAGAGACAGTGAACTCCTGACTTCCTGCGTCTAAGATTGTAGGCAAGAGCTACAATACCCATTTCTCTAATGAGTTCTATATTGTACTTTATTATTACGCTGAGTTTTATTGAGCATCCACTTTTAGTGTTAGTGGTTGTTGGAAAACGGTTCAGGAATGGAGTCCTTGAGGAGAATTCCAAGTGTTTGTGAGAAAACTCCAAGAAAACAAAAGAGTCTTGCGACCTTGTTTCTTCAAAACATGGAACTGTTCTTGGAATGTGTTTTTGTGCTCCTCCCAGAGGTATCAGATAGGACTGAGTTTACTTCAGATTGCTCATTGTTGCTTGTGCTGTTATTGAGTTCACTG